TAATGTGTGGCTGTAACGCGGAGGCCAACGGCATACGAACTTAATGAAACTCCAGCTTCACTAGCTCTACCTTCTCATTCCCCCATCATTTACTGGCAGCCCGTTATATTGGGTGCTCATGGGGTGTGCGATAGACTTACCTCCACGTGGTGCATCCTGAGCAACGTTTATTCATACGGCAAAAAAGTCTGTTAACTGGCAGTTGACTTCTCACTTCAAACTACCACCACCTCACTCTATGCCATATTCGACTATTTCCACAGTACTCTTCTTACCTTTTTTCTACCATTGTGTTTGTCTCTTACATCTTTGAAACACTCTTCTGCTCCCCCCTTCTCGACTTTTTTTTCAATTTGATGTTCCTTCTCCTCTGTGAAGCCTGAAGTCAAATAAAGGGCTAATGATAACCATCAAGACGCCTGCCATTTTATATAAATAAATATTGGGCGCTCATCAAATTAAACCTACAGATTAATTACTATTGACAAGAGCAGGAGTACTCAAGATTAGCACCCCACCGATGGGAACGAGGATACTTTTATGACACTTTTGACGTTTGTTGCCAACGCTTTCCTCCAAACCCAAATCCAACATAGCATTGTTTTCGCTACCTCCAAAGGCGACTCTACTGGGCTAGCGATCCAGTAATGGCTCCAACAAAACATGACAGATTTCACTCTCAACAGACCTCATTGAAGGGAATTCTGAGTATGAACAGTTAAGAAATCGAATTTTAGGAAAAGGCAAGGCAAGTTAAAAGTGAATTTTAAATGAGGTTGATAAAGAAAACAGAAAATTATGAGTTAAAAATGAAGATTGGTGTAGTCTAAGTGGCAAACAATATGCTGAGACGAAAGAATGTTCTAGAAATACCAAATTTTATAAATAAAGATAAAAGTGATACACCAACCCATTACTTGCTCGACTACAGATGCTAACTTTCTACGAGCATCAGACAGTTTAGAGGTAGAAATTCTGAAATAAGTGACCAAGAAGTCACAAGAGAACTCAAAATCCCCGCGATTGATAATTAGTAAAATTGCCCCCCAAATTGCCTTGAGAAGTACTTTTCTAATAGACATGAACTACACACTTGTCCTAATGATGCTAAGGGTAGAGTGGAATTCAAGAGACATCTTCTTCTCCACAGAGTAATGCGCTATTTAAATCCACTCGTCTTGTTTGGAATACAAACATTAGCCTATCATGTTTTTAGTCAAATAACCTTAAGTCCAAAGCAAAGTCATTCAACCTTTATGCATGCAAACCCTCCCAATTGTAGTTCATCTATACAGGCTGTAAATGAACAAAGCGGTGAAACATGATGATGGGTCATTGACTCGAGAGCTTACCTGAAGAGGCCCTTGACAAGTTTCGGATTGATGTTCAGCGCTGTTGAACAATCACTTTCAGAGGACGCATATCGTCCCAATTTATACAGAGCAATGGCTCGATTTGTGTAGAAAAGGGGGTTTTCTGAGGCAAATGAGATAGCTGCAGTGTACTTCTCCACAGCCTCTTCGTACTTCCCTTCCTAAATTTGGGGGAAAAATCATCATTTAGAAAGGCAACTATATAAGAAGAGCAAAGATTGTACTTTAGACTGCCAAATGTTAAATTCGCAAGAACAGGTTGATATAATTCCAACAAGGATTCAAAAGTCCACATCTCCCACTCGATTAAATCTGTGCCTACAATACACTGGAGATACTACATCCAGCAAAGCATACCAAAACTCTAAAATGAACTATTAATTAAATAGCATGTCAATTAAAATGTCTCGCGACTTCTTAATTATTGTAAGTATATTATACACACTGAAAAGGTCACTCAACAAGTGGCATATCTAGCCAACAGCAGGCAAGTAGAAGAATAGGTACCAACGGTTAGATTGGAAAGAGGTAAGATACTCTAGAGGTGCTCTCATAAGGAATTTGCTTTAAACCACCACTTTTATTGGCCAGAGTCAATTACATCACTGGATGTCCGCCGACAAGCATCTTTACCTTATCAGATGTCCACATTGATTACTGCATTAACTAATACTGATCAACGGAGGAGCAACAAGGCGCAATTTTCCCAACCATCAAATAATTCGAAACGCTGTCTTAATGCATTGAAGTGCTTGGAGAACATTTCCTGCATTTATGTTTTGTACAATTTCAAACCAAGGTAATAAATATTGGTAAAAAATGTCACTTTGAGGAAGCACCTTTAGTGGAGAAGCGACAAAGCGCCAAGTTTCGTGAAAATGTCAAACAGTGAAATATCAACAACAATGAATGCTAATAATCCGAAATAGTGAAAGTAAAAAAATGTACAAAGGCAAGATAAAAGCTCTAACTCATTCCCAATCATCTTTTACCAAAATAAAAATTAAATTCGCGCAAGTGAGATACACCCACTGAATCATTACACGGGTGATGAGTTTATTCAACCACCAAACTAATCCTTACGAGCTAACAAGCACAAAAAAGGAGAGTGTGTGCACAAAGACATAATTGTACCAAATCAAAAATAATTTAGGAGTCTTTGATATGACTGCTTTATCATGAATTTGCCGCATGAAGCAATCGATGTTAAGCCTAAAAGGCAATAAATCAAATCTTGAAAGAATAATTCAAAATGAATCAAATGATATTTTCTCAATGATAATTGAATGTTCAGATAAAGCGAAATAAGTCTTGTACACTAAGAAGAAGAACAAAAATCCACAAATATACAGAACACCACAGACTTTAAGGTACTAATTTTGAGGGGCTTGAGGTCCGACAAAAGGCCTGTAAGTCAAACTTGTTGAAGTAAAGAAAATTTAGTTCATCAAATTAGGAGCTAAGGCTAATAATCAGTGGCTAACAGAAGACAAACGCATTTATAAAACTAACAAAGCTTTAGGAGCTAAGTGTCGATCCAAATATATTGTAAAATAGAAGAATGGTGGAAAATTGGAAGAGACTGGAAACGAAGAAAATGGAGAGAAAAAATCTTACTAGTAGATAAATGACACCCACCAGGCTTTACAAAGTGAAGAGATAACAAAAGCAAATGGCATGATTTAAAAAGACATAATTCATACAGAAAGTAAGCTAAATCAATATAGTACCACTAACTATCATTATGCGATATAAACTGATGCAAACTTGAACGGAATATTATGGTAATCTTTAAAGCCTTAGAAAATTAAATTGCTCACCTTAAATAATTTATTTCCTTCATCCTTTTTAACTTCTGACAATCTCAATCGCCTTTCATTCTCCACTTCCTCATCGGCGTCGCTTTCGCTTTCTGACTCTTCACTTTCTGATTTATCGACCTCCTTCAAAGTCTTACTTAAGGCTAGCTTGTCGCTAGCCTCATGATAGAATGATTGTACACATTCAGCCTTTTCTCCATTAATCATTTTATCTGACTAAGAAAACACGCTATAAAAATGGAAAGAAATACCTTCTTTGAATCCACTGCCTTTAGTTTTTTCCTGTGCAAAACGCTTCGAATCGGCGGCAAATTTTCATCAAGGGATGATTGTTTCAGTAACATTGCTCTTTTTCCCTCAAGCTCTTCTTTTAATTTATCAAAATTACAGAAAAAATCTGTTATGTCCTGATTACTTTGTCGAATCTGATTCGATATTTCAATAAAATTTCCTCCGTGCATGACTGATTGAATCAACACAACACGCGACCACACAGCCAAAGCCTATCACTTTCAAAATGACACACCTATATATACCCAAACTTAAGACACGGGATTACTTATAAAGAAGGAAATATAATTGAGATAAAAACGTTAATTCTTGTATAATTTAAAAGTCATATTGAAAGTTAGCAAAAAATGCTTTATCTTTTTTATTTAAAATTGAAATTTACATAGAACGAAGTATTAATTTTAGGAAATGAATAATTAGAGTTTCATAAAAAAAATACAAATTTAATCAAACAGTTGGATGGAATAGACTTCGTATTTCTCGTTGAGTCAAAAAAGAGTTTGAGTTTTCTTGCTATTTTAATCATTAATTTCTGCAATAGCTTGAAACGCTTGTATTTCAGTGCTCACATTATTACACAGATCTTGGATAACATTACTTCAATTTTAGTAATCTTCAGCTAATTTGAAATACTTTACCTATTTAAGTAATAAAATTATCAAACTAGAATTGAATTTGTTTCTTGGAACCTGATCCGTAGGTTAACATTTATGATAACATCTATGATAATGATCGTTTATTCTACTTACAATTCGACCGATCTACCATATTAATGTTTTGCATCAGACATAGAAATAGATAACAGATAATATTTATCCTTCTTTCATTATAAATTCATCTTGTTATCATAAAGTTCTTGAGTGGTTACTCCTTTGACCAAATTTTCAACAAAAATTGAAAATAAGGTTATCTTGTGGTATATATTTTCAACCAAAAAGTTCATTATGTAATACACCCATTTTGGATGATATGATAATTCTTGCTTACATTTATGAAAGGATTTTAATCTCTCGTAATTTCCTGTACATTTAAACTTCATTTAATTGATTTCAAATAGTTATTTTTCATAGATAATTTATAATTATAAATCTTCTAAAATGACATATAACACTACTATTATTGAAATATCGGATTTGTTATAAATATTCTTTAATTTGTTATGTAGGTGTAATTTAATAGGTCTTAGTAAGTTCAAAGTCTCATCTATCGTTACCTACTTTCATCGGTGAGTTTTATGTGATTTTATTGTTCTGTTGCATGTCCCTCTTCATGTGTATATTTTTTATTATTTTTGTGATTTGATAATTTTAAATTTATAACTCATTTCATTTTACTTTTTCAGTTTTTTTAACTACTATCTAAGATGGGATTCTCATTTACTGGTTTGGGCGTATCGCTTGCCCTGCTTGTCGTTGTAGGAGCAATTATCTATTATTGCTGGTTTCGAAAGAAGAAAACGGTAAATCGTGGTCCTTCGGAGGGCAGTCGGCAGGATAATTTTATTAATAGTGGATCGGTAAATCTTCTAAAATTTATGAATCTTTATCTTTCTCGTGCTACTGCTAATCTATACATTCATATATGATTTCAGTTCATATTAAAAATTATTCGTATTAATTCTGGAGGAATTCATATGTATATTATGAATCTGATCATTATGACACTTAATTCAACCAACACACTAATGACCTGAAAATGTTCCTTCTCGGGTTTAATCCCTTGGGCATACAACTTCACATCGTAAGGCTTCATTGTTCGTAATACGTTATCGGTGAATGTTTTTCCGTTTCCGTTGTTGCATTTGGTTCATTTTGTTGTTAATATCATTTTGACCCTATGAAGATGTCTAAGTAACTTCAGTCAAATTCGTTTCTTTAGAGGAAGAAAATAGAAGATAAGTTACAAATTAGGATTGATTTTTCTTTTTATATTCGTATCTGAATTAAATACCAAATGATATCTTTGAATTACATTCTATTTTCGTTGATCTCGCTGTTTTATACTTCTCCAAGCAGAATTTTGCGAATTTCCCAAAATAACCTGTTGTTAGTTTTTTGCTATGCATTTTAGATTGGTTCTTCCGAATGTCTATCGTTAGATAAAACGTTCGCATCATTCTTTTTAATGATTTATACGTTGATATTAATGCATTGTGTTGGCGAATATATTTTCGATTTGAATGATATTTATTCAGTGGATGAGCAGTTCAACTAGCCGTGTATATAATGTTGGTAATTGGAGCGATTCACGAACTTGTGCTTCTTACTTAGTAGCTTCATGTTTCATTTGCTTTCGAATAAATGGGATTAGGAACAAGCATCAAATTTATCGTAAAGCTCTTGTTTATTATTTGATTTTTTGTCATTTTAGGAATATCCACCTTCTACCCATCCAACTACAGCACCACATTCAGTTCCTGTTGGCTGGAACGTAAATCCTAACACGAGTGCCTCCAAAACTGCTCCATATCCAACTGGTGGCGTATCTGGTACAGCACCATATCCAACTGGTGGTGTATCTGGTACAGTACCATATCCAACTGGTGGCGTTTCTGGTACAGCACCTTATCCAACTGGTGGTGTATCAGGTACGGCACCTTATCCAACCTCTGGCGGTATCGCGTCCAATCCTTCTGCTCCTCCGCCATACTCTTCTCCCCCTCCTCCTTATCCAAGTTAATTTATTTCTCTTCGTTTTGCGTGTCTTCCATCTTGACTCTTGTATTTCTCCTCATATCTTGCCCCACTGCCGCTTGTATTATTAATACTGCTTGAAGATATTACTCAACCGCATATATACGGTAAACGCACTTCTTTCTGTACTTCATAATTAAAGTGAACACGTGTCTCATTTCTTGCTGAACATAACCTAATTTACATTAATTTATCGATTCCTACAATTCGAGGGGGTGGGGTGGGTGGCTGGTAAAAGGGAGTTGTCTCAGTGTAACTTGATGAGTAGTGTCATGTGGTGTGTGAGCGCATGGGCTCGGATGGAGAATCAGTGTTGCTTACACTAGGTTATGCAAGTGTGTGGTTTTCGGGAATCGTGTATTTCCTTCACTCGCAACAGAAATGGAGTCGGGGTGAATGCGTTAGTAGCCATCGGAATGATGTTGACTTCTGTTTCTATTATCGCCATTCGACGGGGTACGTCTGCTTGTATGCGATTACACGGAATCTCAGGTATGTTAATCGGCAAGTGGCTGGAATAGGTAGTAGCTCACTATTGAACACTATGGAGGGACCTACTCTCAACGTGCTCTAATTATCATATACTATCGTGAAGTACCAGAGCAGTAGATCTAAGGAAAATCGAGTAGAACGAGAAGAGACTAGCTTCCCTAAATTAAACAGAGGTATCAAAACTGGATGATTGTACGTTTTTAGAGTTAAACATTTTACAAATATATATAGAACATCAACGCCGTTCCCTCAATAGTAGAATTCCACAGCATATTATTTAATCTCTACTAATTAGTGAATAGGTTGACGTCCCGATGATGAAGACCCTAATATATGGATTTGCTTGCTTGGTTAGAATAATAAATTAGTTGTTCCAAGTTAACTATCAACGTCACTATCCACTATGTCCTCTGCCTTTGAAAGTACACCCGTATAAATCGAGATGGCATATACAAAAATGAAATTAAATCCACCAGCCAACGTGCTCTGACTTGTAGCGAATCGCTACCCTGATAAGCCTCGTCTATACTCAGTGATCTCTTAGACAGTTTCTCCTCTGTTTGGAAAGGCTCCCAGGATTATCTAAGCTTCCGCAAAGCTATAGAGGAAACAGACTGTCGGTGTAGTGTCTTACAGACAGGGGGCTTGTCATTATATTATAATGGGGGGGGGAGGTTTGCTGGGTGTTCTCTGCGCTCAAGACACACTTACTTGAATTTGCGCACCGCACCTTTGAGCCTGTCTGAATACGCATGAGGTTCCTTCGTTCGACGATGACAACATTGTGTGCTTCACTGCAGGTAAGGGGGTTGGGAGAACGGCGTTAACAACACATATTTGTGATATTCAAAGTAGGATCCAAAATTTAACATAATTAGACTTTAGATAATACGAATCTGCGAATTTACGCCAAGTTAAGCCCTCTTAAGGCGGTTCCATTGCTGTTTACCCAACTAGCCAATCAATCATAAAACTTAGTCAATATAAAAGCAACTGAATTCTCTCAATAATGGGAAGTAAGCTGTTGGTGAGCGAAAATCTCTCTAGCCTCCTTTCTACCAAGTCTGTGAAATTGAACCCTTAGTTCAAATTATCTCAATTACATTACGTATCACTAATAGAGTATTTCCCAGGATGTCAACATGCTTGAATTATTAGTTAAATTTTCCCTGTGTAAAGCAACACGCATACACAATATATTGATCTTCGAGTTGCCTAAAAGTCAGTTTTTTCTCGGTGTGGGCGTCAAAACGGAAAAATAATTGTTGTCGAGATATGTTAGCATACAGTTACACTTTCGAATTCGCACGTTGACGTCAATTCCACTGTGTCGATATGCAGAGAATCATAATCAACCGACCAATGAGTCGTAACCAGATAATCTCACACATAATCTAATTATGAACACCTTAAGATTGGCAGTTTAAAGGTTCGCTCTTATTGTATTTTCCATAAATCATCTCAGTTAAATTCTTTAATTTTTCATTCTTTTGGCTCAGCTTCCATCTGTCATTTAAAAGTTCAGCTATATTCAAACCCCACTCGCGTCCTTGACCCATAAACTGCACTTGAATCTTCACTCAAGTACGCACCCTGAATGTGATCGCCATTAAACTAATGTACACCTCTTTCTCATCTTCACCCTCCCCCCCCCTCCCC